CCCCCTACCGCATCCCAAAACCAGCCCAGTTCGTCCCCGCCTCCCTAACCTGTTCTTCCTCCCACCTATCCCCTCCTCCCACCTCAAGCCGCACCCCCATCTCCTACCTACTAACCTCATCCCGCCCCCTTGACCTGTCCGTCCTCCCTGGACTGACCTATCCCCTCCCTACCTCCCCACCTACACTCACCTTTACTGGCTCCATCCCCGCCTCTTCGACCTGTTTGTTTCCTCTCCACCTATCCTCTCCTCTATCCATCTTCTATCCGCCTCCCACTCTCTCCCTATTTATTTCAGAACCCCCTTCCCCTCCCCCTTTTCTGATGAAGGGTCTAGGCCCAAAACGTCAGCCTTTCTGCTCCTATGATGCTGCTTGGCCTGCTGTGTTCATCCAGCCCTGCACCTTGTTGTCTCGGATTCTCCAGCATCTGCAGTTCCTACTAACTCTGACTCCATGCTTCGTGTGGTGGTTGAAATTTACTCATGCCTTCTAGCTCACATTTCAAATTATTTCTAAAAACTCATGGAATTTCTTTGTAGACTCCAATTTGAGAACCTTGATATAGGTGGCCTCTTTTACATACTTAAGTAATTCCAAAACAAAAAAAATTTGTTAGTAAGCAAAACTTACATGATCACCACTGAACTTCAGCAATGCATATCTTCACAGTTTGTTAAAATATTTGCTGTTTGTTATTCAGGATTTGTGTGAGGAAGTTTACCAGCTCAAGGGTGGAATTCACAAATACTTGAAAAGTTTCCAAGTGGTTTCTGCAGGGGAAAGTTGTTTGTTTTGACAATTGCTATGCCATCTCTGCCAATGATGATATTATTTCAGGCAAGTACAGATAAAATGTTAAAACGTTGTTGTATCTGACTCATTAAAATAATTCTTGATCTTTATTACAGTAAATGAAATGAATGACCAGACTGACGTATTTTTGATGTTAGCTAAGGGTGTCTCACTCTTCAAACAGATTCGGCGAACTGAGCAGAATTCTATATAGCTTCACTTAGTTCAGCAAAGATGCAGTTTCTCTTATACAAATCTCCTTCAGCACTATCTTACAAGTCATTCAATTTCAAGCTCCTAACTATTAATAACTATGGTATCCACACATGGATTTATCATAAACAACAACAGGTTTGTTAGTACTTCAATTAGTGTTTTTAATTGTTTAACATGTTTGTAGTTCTAATGCTTACGAAACTCATCGTGTGATTTTCTGCTCTAGAGTGCAGCTGTTGTAGATGAATACAGACCTTGTGATGAATACAGACTCTGCAGTACCTTTTACTGCTGTCAGCTTATTTCATCCTGTGTTCAGTGTCAAAAAAGGTTTTCTAGCCTGTTGTATTGTGTGCCAAGAAAAGGAAAACTCAACATCTGAAACACATTCGGGCCGCACCAGAAAAGGGGAATGTGAATGTACTAAAAAACGGGTGCGGATTCCTGTCCTGTTCCTACATTAGCTTTTTTAAACCCAGAAAAAGAGAGATCAGATTTGAAACTATAGAGATTTGCATTTCCTCAGTGCCTTCATAAGCTAAGACATTTCAAAGTACTTAAGTACTTTTAAAGTGGAGTCACCATGGTAATGTAGGAAATATGGCAGCCAGTTTGCACATCCTTCATGCAGTGCATAAATGACTAGATAATCTGTTCAAAAGTTCTCAAAAATCACTAAACTACACTAATCCCAATTACCTGCACTTAGTCGATAGCCTCCTATGTCCTGGCACTTTAACTGCTCGTCCAGATCCTTCTTAAATGTTGCAAGAAGACCTGCATCCACCACCCTCTCAGGCAGCGTATTCCCAAATATCTACCACCCTCTGGATGAAAATTCTTTTCCTCAGATCTCCTCTAGACCACTTACTCTGCACCTTTAAGTTATTCCCTTTGGTCTTGGCCACATCTGCCATGGGGAAGAGATTCTCACAATCTACTCTGTTTATGCCTTTCATAATTTTATATACCTCAATTAGATCCTCCCTCAGCCTCTTCTCCAAGGAAAACCAACCCAACCTATCCAGTCTCTCCTCATAACTGAGGCAACATCTTTGCTGCATCCTCTCCAGCACAATTGAATCCTTTCAATAGTGTGGCGACCAGAACTGCACATAGTATTCCATCGGTGGCCTGAGCAATGGTTTATAAAGTTGTCACAAGACTTCTTTGCTCCTATATTCTACACCCCGGCTAACAAAGGCAAGTATCCCCTATTCCTTTTTCACCATCTTGTCTACCTGTGTTGACACCTTCAGGGATCTATAGGCTTATACACTAAAGTCCTTCTGTTTCTCGGTACTCCCCAAGGACATACCATACCTTGCATAAATTCTTCCCTCATCAGACCTCCCAGAACATCGCCTCACACTTATCGGGATTAAATTCCATCTGCTGTTACACTGCCCAGTTTACCAGATTATCAGTAACAGACTGTAGCCGGAGATCATCCTTCTTAATATCAAACACCACCAATTTTCGTATCATCTGCAAACTTTATAATTATATCTTCTACATTCATATCCAAGGTGCTTACGTACATAACAAACAGCAATGGTCCTAGTACTGAACCGTACCACTGATCAGTGGTACACCATTGGTCATAGGCTTTCAATCACAAAAACAACCCTTTCACCATCACCCATTGCCTCCTATCTGTAAGCCAATTTTGGATCCAGTTTCCCCAACTTGCCTTGGATCCTATGGGCTCTTTACCTTTAGGATCAGCCTTCCATATAGGACCTTGTCAAAGGCCTTACTGAAGACCATATAAACTATATCAACTGCACTACCCTCATCAAAATATTTAGTCACTTAAAATATACTTAAGTTCTCTAGGACTCGGCCAGCTCCGTCAATAGTGATGCTACCTAGTCATTATTTGTGATGGACTTTGAGGCCCTTGATCCAGAGTACATGCCAACCTCAGTGTTTTGTTAAATTGCTGTTCAACATGAAGAAATGCTGATTTAGAGAGGCAATAGGTTGAAATCAGCAGTTTTCCTTATCTATGTTTGACCTGATGCTATAGGCCTCAGGGAGTCTGGAGTCCATGTTGAGGACTCCCTCCTAACTACATTCCTGCAGCCGAATGGCTATGGAATAGTCGAAAGGAAGGGCTTCTATGAGCCACAAGTCGATAGCATGTAAACTTCAAAATCAACCCTTTGCATTTGCTGCCTGCCTGGTTGGTACCTGTATCTACAAATAATTCTTTTCGAAACAAATGAAGTTTTCTCATACCTAATGCTGTGGTATTAGGGCCATTTATTTGGGTTTTATATTATACAAGTGAATCTGTTCCAAGTAAAGATAAACAAAACATCACTACCTTTATTGCACAACAGTATTACACAGGAGCTTTTATTGAGCTTTTTCAAAGAATGTGAAGCTACAGAATGCCCAAAATTGTGATGCTTTATTTGTCATAAAGTGCAGGAATCAATACATTCTACTTTTTGAAAAAACCACAACTTTGTAGATTTAAAACCAATATTTTCACCTGCTTTGGGCAAAGCCTGCTCTGTTAATCACAAAGTTTAATTTCTGGAATCAGTCTGAAATTTATAAATCAATTATTCATTCTCTGTTTAGACAAAAAATGTCCCAGCTTTAGAAATAAATGGTTTCATGGAAAATAGAAGTCTGGTGTCCGTGAACTGCTGAATACAGCTCCACGAGTGTGAGCAGTCTGGTCTTGAGTTTGCCAATTGAATGAAACAATAACTTATTTTGATGAATCTTTCAAAATCTGAACAGATCTCGGTTTTGAACTAGAACAGACTCTGCTTAATTAAAAATACGTCTTTGAAAAGGTTACTTTGGATATTCAAAATACTTTTACTTTTAAGGCACGTTGTAAATATAGCCAATAAATCATTTCAAGTCATTTCCTGCTCTCTCTTTCTCAGCAGTGAGAACATCTGCAGTAACATGAAGAATAAACAGACGCTGCATCTCCTCGGATTTGATATCTCAAAAAGCAAGTGTTTAAATAAATTCCCATGATTTTAAATCTACCTAAAATAAATATTTTGATTTAAAAACAAAAACATTCTTTTTTTTTTAATCTTATTTCATAAGTAACTCAAATCAGTAGAGACGCTGGTTACATGAAAAGTCTGAAAATCAGCAGACAGCAGGGGTGATGCACACAGTTCTGAAGCAGTGCATTATTTCATTTCTGATTGCCACAGTGTTAATGTATGAACTCTGTGTTTCCCACAATGAAAGTACAGCGGGGTTACACTAGGAGGTAATTCTCTGGTGTCAAATCATATAAATAAAAAGGATTACCTATGTTTCTACAGTAAATCCTAGAACAGCAAGCTTGTACATGCACAATGTATCTATGGGTACAACCAATAATCCATTTAGGGATGTACTCAACTGATGGATAAATTAGAACTGATGGCTTCAAGCTTCAAAGCACACAGCACAAACTGAACTGAAACATAATTCTGCACTGCACATACTGCTATTTTTCTGTCAGACAAATACACCACAATCTGTTCAAGCTACATCTATAGACATCTGCCATTGGACTTCACACTAAACTTCAATTGGATACATCATCCCATCATATAACACAAAGAAAAAAAATGGAGCCACAGCAGAGAATTGGGGACGCCCTCTTGGGTGTATGTAGAATCCATCGGTATAGGGCGTGTGCTGTAGAGGCAGGAAGTCTTCACAAACAGATTAGACAGTTGTCCGGCACCTGGGGAAGATGGGGCCATTGAAGCCCTGCAGTCGGCTTTGCCTGACTAAAATGAACAGATAACGTCATAAACAATTCATGATAAAGATCTCAATTGAATAAGGATGTACATTGGTGATAAGGAAGATTAAACAAATGCATCATTTTACAATATACAGCTTTAATATATAACAATACAATACAGAACCTTCACCACACTTTAATCTATAGCTTTTTTTAAACTTATAAAATGTAACCTTTTTGGCCCTGTGTTCTAATTTTATCATTTATTTATTATCTTCAACTACAAGCCTCAACAGATTTTCACTTGTTCTCCTATATTATGCAATAGTATACACTCTTATTTATGACAATTTTGCTAATTAAAGTACCTTGTCTATACATAGCCATCAGATAATTAGTCCCTCTAAAATATGTTTTTGATAATATTTCTCTGTACTGCTTGGTCACAGACATTGTCTGCATCCCAGATTATTGACCTTTTAAAAGTATAACTTAAGCATATATGTTACAACTGCTAGAACACACTAAGTTAGGGAACAGAGTGGGAGTGTTATGTCTGACTATGTTTTGGCAGGACAACTTGAGAAGTCTTTTTAAAAGGTATACAGGATCCTTGACTTTACAAACAGAAAAGATTTCCCAGAACAGTACAATGATGATAAAAATTTCAGTTAGATTGATTCTGCTGGCAGAAGGCTGAGAACTCGGAGTACATTAATTTAAGGCAATTGGCTAAAGAATCAGAGGTGACATGAGAGAAAAAAAAGTTTGTGCGGTGATAACACAGTGTGGAGCTGGAAGAACACAGCAGGCCAGGCAGCGTCAGAGGGCTGGAAAGTTGATGTTTCGGGTCAGGACCCTTCTTCAGACTTTCCTGTTCCTCTGATGCTGCCTGGCCTACTGTGTTATCTCTGACTCCAGCACCTGCAGTTCTTACTTTCTCTCAGTTTGTGCAATGAGTTATTTTATTGTGAAATGTACTGCCTGAAAAGAAAATGGAAGCAGAATAAAAAATTTTTAGAGGGGAACTGAGTAAACACTTCAAAAGGAAAAGTTTTCAGTGCTGTGGGAAAAGAATTAGACACTGTGATGAATTGGATAGTTTTTTTCTGAAGGAGCTGAAACAAAAACAATGGGCTAAATGGTTTCCTTTTGTTCCATTACATTCTAAATCTCCTATGCAGCCTCACTGAAGTCTTGAAATTGTTTCTAAAGTGTTTATGCGTAGATTTGGACACAACACTTAAGCTGAGGCCTAACCAATAAACCACGGATTCCACACTATCTTTTTTTAACATTTTGAAAGGAATTGTCTGCCAATTATGTTCAAAGGTGCAATTGCAAAACTTTTTAACTTTTTTCACATTTAAAATTTTTAACATTCAACATCTTCAATGTAATATCACAAAATATAAATATTACATCACATAGAAGCAATTCTAAACAATTTTCTATGTCAGGTGGAAAAGCCTTAAAAATTTTATTATATTCCTTCGGTTTGATGGCAGCAAATGCAGAACTTTAAACCATACACCGGACCCCCATCAAAGAACGTATTTTTATTTAATGTTTCCATACAGTTTTTAACTGACCAAGAGTAGGTCCAGACAAACGTAACATCCATTACTTTGCTATCGGTGTTCAACAGCTACTTCCTTCCTAAATATGTATTTTCTTTGAATTGGAAGGCGCATTTTCTGTATCATCCGCAAAGGAAATGTAAATTTACGTTCAAACTGAAGTTTAATAATTGTCAGGGTGAGGTTTATCAGTGGCAGAGAATGGAACATTTTTGCAACTCATGCCAGTAGATATTCTTCAGGTTATGGCATAGCAAAATGCTCTAAACACTCTTTCCCTGCAATATCCCTTAACTGGACCTCTGAAAAAGTGCCCTGACTGTCCACATGCATTATCCCCATGGTCATGTCTTTAGCATTATAAGCGGTTTCCTTTCGCATTCTTTTCTTACTTAAAATTGTTGCTTATACATTAATCTGATTGCATATTTGATTTTGGCTACGCAGTGTTGGTAAATCAGTGCCTGGTGTTTACGCAGTTAAGTTTTGTTTCCCTGGATGCTGGCAAAATATTTGCATTTACACATCTCCATTTAGCTGGAAAGGGTTTAGAAACGATTTACGAGCATGTTGCCGGGAATGGAGGGTTTGAGTCATAAGGGGAGGCTGGATAGGCTGGGATTTTTTTCCACTGGAGCGTAGGAGATTGAAGGGTGATCTTATAGAGGTTTATAAAATCATGAGGGCATAGATAAGGTGAATGGTAGGTGTCTTTTCCTGAGGGGTGGGGTAGATTTCAAGACTACGAGGCATTTTTTTTAAAGGTTAGTGGAGACAGATTTAAAAACGACATGAGGAGCAACATTTTTTGTTTGCACAGGGAGTGGTTTGTGCTTGGAATGAACTGCCAGAGGAAGTGATGGATGCTGGCTACAGTTACAATGTTTAAAAGACATTTGGATAAGTCCCTGAATAAGAAATGTTTGGAGGGATATGGGTCAAGTACAGGCAAGTGGGACTAGTTTAGTTTGGGATTATGGTTCGCATGGATGAGTTGGACCGAAGGGTCTGTTTCCATTCTATATAACTCTATCGACATTCCAAAATGGATTTAAGAACTTGGTTCCAGAGCTCCCAGATCCTAAATGACAGTAGAAGGCCTTTAAATGGATTGAATCTGTCCAAACCCATGCCGTGCAGGTCCAATTTACGATTTCCCTTCAGCAATCCAGACAGAGGCAGCAAATAGTATCAAAAACTCAATGCCATCCGGTTCCAGCTGAAAACTGCTTCATTCTTTCATATTTTGTAAGATACTGAGAGTCATTTGTTACGTTATAACCATGTTTTCAACCTGACAGTTAAACAAACGGCATTTTACATCTGACTGAATGATGTTGAATAGTCTTAATATTGTCTGCTAGTATTGTGACTCAACCACACACACGCAGCCAGTACTCACTAGTCAGTAAATAGAGCATAAATGGTGAGAAGCTGAGAAATGGGTTAATATCTCAGTGAATGGAGTGCATACCTATTTGGCATTCTTTCTATTCCACACGTTGGAGTATTTACTAAAGATAGAACAGAATTAGGTTTGAGTCTTGCTTTAACAGGGGATTGGACGAGTAGTTTCTTTATTCAGATGCCAGTGTGGCCACTCTCAAAATATGAAAAATTCTTCATGGACAAAGGTGATGGAATATTCTTATTTTGCTGCACACTTGCCTGACTAGAAGCATTAGAAATGTAGAATTCCACTAAGACACGGGAGCACAGGATGAATTTTTGAGACTCCCAACCAGCATGAAATGCTGCTTTCTTGGGGTGTGGACTTGAGGAGCCATTGAGAATGGGTTTTGTCTAGACCCATTGGGAATCGAGCCTGATCACCTGATGTTGCCCCCATCCTGCATTAGTCAATGTTAGGAGTCTGGTCTCTAAAAATTAACTTTTGAAACAATATAAGGTACGAGATTAACAAGATAACAGAGATAGTAGGAACTGCATAACAGATTTATTTACCATGTGGCGTAGTCTAAATTTTGAGAGTAGGCTTTTGAATAACTTGTGTTAGCATAAGTATGGTAGTTCTGAATGAGGTTTAGTGCAAGTTTGTTTTTCCCCTCAATTAATTTCTGTGCTAAATGTGTGAATTTGCTCCCATGTGGCCAATTTACAACTCATTAAAAAGACAACATATATACCAAATACAGATAACAATTTTTAAACTGAGAAAAAGGAATTGGTTGAGATACAAGAAAGAAGTGCCGCTGCAGAGATAGAATTGCTGATTAATGCAATCGTTTTAAAAAATATATCCAGAACTATAAAATTAGGAAAAATAGTTGTGTCAGCAAGAAAAGCAGAATAAAAAGCAGTGGAGGAGAGAGGAAGGGAATAATACTGCACTCAGAGATAGGGAAAAGTTGGTGTAGATCCAGCAGAAAGGCTGTGTAAAGCACTGCTGTTTCAATTTAGGAGACTACAACCAAAAAAATACTATATACTTATATCTCCTCCAGTTCCAAAGCTGAGAATCTAGACCAGGAACCGTCTGCTCGATTAATGCGAGCTGCAACAAAAATTGAATTGTTGAGAACAACCTGTAAAATACCACGCCGTCGAGAATCTAAGAAACTCATTAAAAATGCTGAAACGCATAATTTCATTCTTTTAAAGTCTGCAATACCCAGCTGTGTTAGAATGGTATGGCTTCTTTTGATAAAAAATAAGCCGCCAAGATTATGTTTCCTTTGAAGTTTTCCAGGAACGGAGGACTCTTGTGTATTGGAAATGTTTGAATCAA